AAATTTGCTTTATATGTAAAATCGATTGAAGTAACTCAACCCACATTATTCTTGGATCAACCAAGCTTTAGTTGAGTCAGGTTGGCTTGTCAGTTGGAGTAAATTAGGGAATTAACAAAACATTTTACGCTAAATATTTAATTCCATTGTGTTACTCATTCATTTTATGTTCCTTAATCAAGATATACATTTTTTTCACTGAAACAAATATTAAGAGGTCTACCTAGTTGGTCTCATTATGACAAAAAAAAAAAAAAAAAACAAAGTTGAAATGCAAAGTCACAATTTTGATTACAAACATCATTTTAGATTTACTGCAACATGGTCATATGATCTTCGGAAAGTATTATAGTCATTCCAAAAAATACAATAAATAATATGAGGATGAGTTTATAACTGAACGAAAAAGTGACTTAAAAAAGCATAATTAAAGATTCACTTTTTGTATGAATTAAGCATATCCTAATTTACTCTCAAGATCAAGACAGCATGAGTCCTTGACACTGGGGGATGTAAGATATTAATAACGGGTGGTTTTGTGATGCTCCAGTAAAATACTCCGATGTTTAAATTAGTAAAAATTTGACTAGAGTGGAAACATATAGTTATGAGTTAGCGTACCAGAGCTGAAAGATGGACATCGTTAGCTAATATGGACTAGTTGTTATGCACACTTGACATTATAACCATTTTGGTATAAAAGTGCATTCAACACCTTTACAATATGCATAGTACAGTACATCGAATAAAGATGACATGTCAGAAATGTTAGAATTGTCAAGTGGTGAGAAGATGTTTGTGTAATAGTTGGTGCTCAAGGTAATAATTAAGTGTGAGATGGGCCTCACCGGTGATTCATTAGAGGGGAATAAGTGACTTGTGGTTAAAGTAGGTTTATGATTGTGGTCAGTGATAAGTTTGATGAATTATCTCCATTATGGCAGATTTAGGCAAAATAAGGTTAGTAAAGCACTTTGACTGAGGTCAAACATTTCACTTCAAATTACTTTCCAACACATACAATATCAATAGGTAACAATCACAAAAAGCTCCTTCAAAAGTTAGTTATTAATATCTCAATCATATCTCACTCTCTAGTTAAAAGTATACAAAGTGATTCATTAAATTAAGTTTCTTAGTTGAAAGCTGTTTCATCAGCGATACTCTTTGTCACAATTGCAAGTCGCAACAGTACAGAAAAACGTTTTAAGAAAAGATATCTTTTAGTAATAAAATATTTTTAAAAAAATTAAAAGAATTGCCACCAAAATTTATTTTAAGAAAATTTTAATTTTTTTTAACATAATATGATTTTTGAAAAAAAAATAATTTTAAAAGTCATTTACACGTAAGAAAAGTATTATCACCTTACAAAGTCTGTTAAATAACGGTTACTTTAAATTAACTGTGTAAATTTATTTTAATTTTAAAAAATATTTATGTAACCTTTAAACATTAAGTGTTGCTATTTTTATTTTTTAAGGAAGAAAATTTATTTACTGAAATATTAATTGGTATTAGGAAAGAGAAAAAATACTTTAAAAATAGTTTTGATTCAACGATTTTGGTTCTGCTCTTACATATTCTAAGTGCAATGAGAAATTCAAAGTCATGTAGTTCTATCATAAAAAATTTGAAGTTGGTTGATTAAAATTAAATTTAATAAAAGAAAGTTTATTTTAAAATTAAAATTAATTTCATAAGATTATATTCTTTAGAATACAAGATAATACGGATATACATGTATTATACCATAAATAATATAGAAGGCAAAGAGAAATCACACAACTATATTGTAAATCATTAAAAATAATTCAATAATTTAAAAAAATAATTTGTAAATAAAAAATGTTTGAATTTATACTAAAATTTGAAGATTCATATTGAAAGAAAGTTTAAAATAGTATAAGTTATGCATAAATTTCTTATTATTTATTGGACAATTAAAGACAATGTAAATTACACATCAATGTTGTAAAAAAAAATGTATAATAAAATGAAATAAAATCAAGTAATTAAATATTTAGTTATTTAATTTATCAAAGTTAGAAATATGACTTTAAAAATTTTTAAATTTGAAATTAATTTCATTTAAAGAAAAGAAAAAATATTTAAATTAATTAATAAAAATAATCATTTTAATTACAATATTATTTAATAATTTTATATTGCATGAGACTCAAGGTAACTTTCGTACACAAAAGTTTTAGCTATTTAAAATGTATAAAGGTAGAGATGATACACAATAATGTTACAAATTATTGCATTAGAGTAATCATTAACTTAATTCGATGAATCAATTAATCATTTAATAATTAAAAATTGAAGCAACAGTATTTTGATCATTAAAAATATTTATTTAATTAATTAAAGTTAAAATATATTAAATTTTTGTCATATAAAGTCTAGGTAACGTAAGTACACGTAGCTTTATCATCTTATAATACATGATAATAGAAAAACTATACCTTAATTTTATAAATTGATGCAAATATGTGCTATTTATATATTTTAAATATAATTTATTAATCATAAAATAAAAGGTCTAAACATGTATATAAAATTGAATTACATTAACCTTTTTAAATTAATGCAATAAAATAAAAAAATAATAATACCAAAAAATAAATAACGCAAATATACATAAATATAACAAATATAAATAATAACATAATAATTATTATAAAATTTTTTATTTTTATATTACTTTACGTATCTTTTTTTTTACATAAATTATTTATTTATTTTTAGATTTAGTTGGCAGAATACAATTTTTTGAAAATAATAATAATAATAATAATAATAATAATAATAATAATAATAATAGAAAAATGAAAAGTAAAATAAAAAAAGATTAAAAGAAATGTTCAAGCATAATCCAGTAATAATTTTAGTTCAAATCCTTTTTTTTAGTCCAATTATATTTTTATTGCACAAAATAAATAAATAAATAAAAAGCAATAAAAAAAAGAAGATGATGAAACCACTGTCCCTTTTGCCTCCCTATTCTTCTATCTCAAATCCATCAATTATTTAAAACAATAAAATAATACTATAGAGAATAAAAACTTATCAAAATCGATTGCACTTAAAGAAATGTTTCAGCGCAAATGTCTTTCATAGTCCCATCAAACTTTTCTTTTCATTATTATAATAAAATAATAATAATATATAATAAATTTAATTATATTTTTAATCCTTATAAATATAGAGTATTTTGAGATAAATTTTTATAAAATTTTTTGTTACAATTTAGTCCTTAAAAAGTTAAAAAATTAGAATTTAATTCTTACCGTCAACTTCTTTCTATTTAGTATGTCACGTTATTTAATTTTTTATTTTTTATTATTTAAAATCATATAATTATAAATAAGTCCCAAAATGTAACACCTTAATTTAAATTTCAAATAAATGAATTTCAAAAAAATGAGAATAACAAAAAGATTTTCATTCAAACGGTCCTGATACATAGCTCAATAAAGTATTTCAAAATAAAGGTGAATTACAAATTTATATCAAATAATTGCTATAGGACTAATTCAAATACATCAGAGTTTTTAAAATAACTTTTTAATTCCTATAGTTGTTTCATCCATCCCTTCACTGAGCCTAATGCTGATCGTTTTGGCCACCTGAAAAATAAATATAAGGGTGAGTATTCTACACTATCAAACATAAGTATAGAGACTCATCTTGCATGTTTAACACATTTACTAACATAATTTTAAATCATGCCTCAACACTAGTAATACTTTTCAACGTTTCATTCCAATCCACACAGGTGCGATCACTCCACCATCAAACAATCCACACACACGTACGCTCATTACACATAACCAAGCTCACTGTGCCACTATGATTATAGTTTTCTGACGCTCTCAACCTCAGGTACTTACTTAATTTCACACCTTAGATGGTCGCCGGATAGTTCCCGCTTTACAGATATAACGTGTGCAGTACTGAGCCCCAAGCAAAGATGTTAGTCAGAAGCTGAGTCAGGAGGAGAGTGTGTGGCATGTGGTGCACCCACGCTCATTGTTGGTGTCACCACCACCCTCTCTTCCCCAAGGTATGTCTACCGCCCCCATCTTCCACACCTGGTGTACCGTTGAATCATTCATAGTTTCCTAACATTTCAAATACAATCATACTCAGCATGCCATTCACACATATTTTCACCCATTTCATAATATCCAATATCAATCAATGACATGTCTGAGCATTTAAACCACATTCTCACTCACATCATAATATTCAATTTCACACATGGTACGTATGCCCACATTCAATCACATTACACGTAAACATCAAATCCTCATCAAAAATCCATCACAATCAAACTATGTACTACATCACACATACTATGCTTAATATCATTCACATTGCATTCCACATAAAGTTTCCATCGTAATTCAATCATAATCAATCAACTCTCATCAAATACACGTATTTCTATGCTTTACCCTAATTACCTTGTAATAAATAACACAATAATCAATTTCTAAGTACAATGAGATAGGGTAGAGTCCCCCTTACCTCAAAATGAAGACCCAACACAAAATAATAGCATAAAACGTTTCCCACACGATGCTTCGTCCCTAAAACATGGGAAATCTCCATGAGAACTCAAGAAAATGAAGAAAGGAAAGAAAGAACAAAACCTTAGCCCATAAAACTTACCTCAAAACGTTCTAAACACAATCTCAACCTTCAATCTTGCTCAAAAACAGCTTTGGAGGCAATTTAATCAGTGGCAAAGGGTTGAGGGTTGAGAGAATCGAAGAGATTTCAAAGAGAGAAATGGGAAATAAATTTCTCAAACCCTAAATCCTTCAAATACCCTTTTGGTCGTGACCCTTGCTCCAGCGACACCTTCTCTCGCTACAGCAAAAATATCAAAAGAAACTACACTCTAATTTCTACAGAATCTCGCTACAGCGAGACCCTCTCACTATAGTAGCATTGCACCTAGAATTGCATCTTCTTCTGTCTCCTTCTCGCTACAGCGAGAACACAACAGAATCACCCAACTCGCCCAGGGCCTTCTCGCTACAACGAGAATGCCCCTACAGCACATCCAATCTCAATGCACAATCAACATTCACATTTTTCATCCGTACACACATATATTCTCATCATGACATACATCAAATGTACATTCAAATAGAAATCCACAATCAATATTAATAATCAAATACTATTACAAAAATCTGGGGCATTATACGAAACACATTTTACATAATTGCAAAAATGTCTTTTTAACATTTTTTTTCCCTCCACAGACCCTCCCTTGACCTCCATATAACCCCCCTTCTAGCACCCTTTCCCCCACCCTCACTCCTTTCCCTTCCCCCACTCCTACCCTTTCCCTTATCTAGTACCTTGGTGGATGGATTTTTCTCTGAAAGATTCAATCTCTCTGCTGATGCTAGTTTTGCAATTATCATCATCTCACTCTATGAACAAGGCTTCAACACATTAATGTTGCACCTAAACCCATACCTCTAAACAGATTCATGAATCTTCTTCCCCAACTTAAGCATTCACGACTCGTCATATGCAGCACTTATCTCGGCATACCTAGGTTAATCAAACATAACCATATCCTCAGCCTTACTATACCCACAAACCATCATAGACCACGAGATATCATTCTTCTCAGGCATTCTTTCAAACAACTCAAACGCTTTCTTCATCTCCCTCGCCTTAGCATACCCATCGATCATCGTGTTCCAACTAACCAAATTCCTTATAAGCATTTCATCAAAAAGCGTACAAGCACTCTCCAATTCACCATCTTTAACCAACTCACCAATCATAGAATTCCAAGTCACAACATCCCTTTCCCTTACGATAAAAAATAACCTCATCGCCGCATCAAGCCCAACACTTCCACACTTAGCATATGAATCAATAAGCGAATTGGGCATAAAAATATATGTATAAAGAATAAATTTTTTGATATGAGCGTGGATCATTTGAACCAAAGGAAGCAAGGACGCTACAACAAGATATCTCTTGCTATCAAGTCATTCAGAATCAGGCTTTTTGGAGCTCTCTTGCTATAGATAAAATTTCTCGCTGTAGTGAGGATCCTTTCACTGTAGCAAGGATCTCTCGCTATAGCTAGAATGAAAGACAGCAAAAGAAAAAAACTTTCTGATTTTTTCGCTTTTAGTGAGAGTTGCTCGCTGTAACGAGAAAGTCGTGAGTTTAAGAGATGTTTAAAGAAGTTTCGTCCTAAAAACTTTATTTTCAACCAAATCATCTTTTCCTCTCTATCGTCTTCATTCTCTCCCTTTTCCTTCCTAGAGAAAACCTCCAATATTTTTGGATCTTCCTCAGATCTGAGCTCAAACGTCCATTCCACTCGAATCTAAGTAAGTTTTTGGAGCTCACCCCTTGAATCTCATTCCTATTTATCTTTTCTCTTTTTCATAATAGAAATCTACCTTGTGATGTTAGGAATAAATCTAGTCCTTAGGTAGTATTTTTGGTCGAGACGTGGAGTTTCTCTCTAGAGCACACGAAGAACTTAGCTCTTGAGATCCATTTCCAGGTAAAGGGAGTTACTCCTGAACCCTAGTTTCTACCTAAATATGTTTATAAATCTTTAGAGAAGAGGGTTATCTTATTTCAAAAAGTATATCCATAAATTTTTCTTGAAACTAAATAAGTTTGAAATGGATTTTTGGTATAAAAGAGGTTTTTGATACGTTTAAAATCAATTGAGATGTAGTTTATCATAAATAATCATGAGTAAGAATAAGTTAAACAATTTTATGGATAAGTTACTATTATTTTTTTTATAATGTATGTGTTGAATAGTGAAAAGTGAAAAGGTGAAATATGTTGCACTTTATGCTAGAAGATTCTATTAAGACTGAGAGAATGTGATCTTTGACAATATGTTCTAGATTGCACGATTTAGGCTGAGTTCAAGGGTGTCTGACCCTCGACGTATTGTGTGAAATTTTATGATGATATGTATCTACCTTGTGATTATATAAATAATTGAGAAGTTTGTTAATATGTGAGAGTGATATAAAAGGTATTGTATCTTATATGTGTGAGTTGGGTTAAGTTTGAATAAGTATGAATGTTTGAGAATCTCTGAGAAAGTATACAATTGATTATAAGAGAAAGAGAAATTGTGAAAATTGAAAAGTGATGAATATGTGTGGAGAAAAGAGAAAGGGACATTAGTACATGTGTTACAAATATACCGATTGGTGTCATATCATATATGCGATGTAGTGCACCGACGGATGATATTATAACATATATGTTGTAGTATATCGATTAGTGTATTTGCAACATTTGTATTAGAATAGTATAACTTGATGTGCCACTATTCAGATACTGTATGGATAGTTCATGGATACACTGGTGTACAGGGTCTAAAGTTGATTATGGAAATATAGTGGAAATGAGAGTGCTAAATGTGGTTCACTGATGTGTACACGATGTAAAAGTGGAATGCATTTACAGGCCTTACGCTCATTTCTTGACCAAACTTCAAATTATACCTTTGCTTGGAAGGTTGTAAACGCACACGTTGTATCCGTGTGTGGTTTAGCTAACCATCGACTATCCATGCTGCGTAAGTCCTTCGTAACTAAGGAGAGTGAGTTGGCAGCGATTTAGGGACCCGAAAGTACCTAGAGTATTATTAATTGATGAGATGTTTAGACTTGAGATGGATAAAGTGGCATGAAGATATGGATTGGATAATGATATTTGGTTAAATGTGGAGTAATATTCATGAATAACTTTTGTTAATTAAAATTGTATGAATAAGTAAAGTAGCATGAATTATGATGTTGAATGTGATTGGGTTAATTAAATAAGAAATGGAATACGTATGAGTAATGATGAAAGATGTATATGAATAATTTGTCTGGTTAAATTTGTTAAGTATGAAACATTGTTATTTTGTTACATGTTGTATTAGAAGATGTTTTTGCATTATTATTTATTATTTTATAAAATAAGAATTTTCGTAGGGCAAAGGATGCTCACTCTTACAGACTTTTTCAGGTAATGAAGTGATAAAAAGAGGATTGATTCATTCTAGGATCATACTCGCAAGGAATGGTAGGAAAGGAATTGCTCTGAGGGATTTATATTATGAAGAAAGATTGTAAATATATTGTGAATTGAGTTTCCATTCAAAGTTATTTAGAAGATTTAGTCATTGTAAATAATGATTCAAAGTGCAGGTGTAATATTTAGTAATTAATCGTTAATAATGATAACTCCATGCATAGTTTTGCTATTTAAGTTTTTCCTTCTGCATTATAATTATCAAGTGACATGATTCTCTGCATATTTTCAGAATTTTACAGGTGGAACTGCAAACTTTGGACTGGATTCAGGCACAAATCCAAGGAAATTCAAATGCACAGAAGAATGCCCATTTTCACCTTACAATACAATCACTTGGGAGAGAAGTTTCAATTTCATCATCAGAGGTGTCCACTTTCATTTCATAGTAATCACTTTCAGTTAAGGTAAGTGGTCCTCCTCTTTGTAGTTCTCACTTTTGTTTCATAGTAATTACTTCAAAGGCTTTTGGGTCAAAAAAAGTGCACGTAACCACTCCCATTCCATAGTGACTACGCGCAGAGACATTTGGGAATTAAGGACTCTCTGTAGTTGTCACTTTCATTTCATAGTAGACACTCCAGAGAAGCCTTTTTTGTGCAAACATGGTGCGCGTAGCCACTTTCATCCCATAGTAGTTAAGCCCAACCCCATTATTAAATTTTTGAAAAAAAAAAGTGCTCTTTGTAGTTGTTACTTTCGTTTCATAGTGGCTATGCGCAGTACCACATTGCAAAACTTCAATGCGCGTGTCCACTATGGTTTGAAAATAGCCACGCCCAAAGCCTATATAAATAGAAAGTCACCACTCTAGCCCTCACTTTCACTCAATCTCTGAACGCTCTCACTCACGTCTAATTCCCCTGCCAAGTCTCTTTCATCCCCACTATTCTGTGCTAAAGCCCATTCATTTATGTATTTCTGCACAAATTTCAGACTCTCATCCAGGTAACTTTTCAATTCCCTTCTTTCTGCATTAGAGTTCTTCGTTCAATAATTTGGGGTTTTGAATTCTGGTTTTATGTGTTGAAATTGTTTGGGGAAGATTGAGATTCTGGGCATGCTAGCATGATTAAAAGGGACTGGGAATGTTAATTTGGTTTAATTCACTGCACTTTGGTTAATCAAACCCTAGCGTGACTACTATCATTTTGGGTTTTTGCTTTAGGAGTTCTTGCATAGAAATTCTTGTGTAAATAATGCCATTTGAAGTATGATTGCTTGATTGAAGTGAATTGGAGGTGTTTATTTCGGATATTTGTTGTATTCTGCCATTGTCGAACCCTAGGGTGGCCACCTCCACTTGTACTACTGCATGTTTTGTGTATTCTGATGTAATATTGCCTATCCTAGGTTTGTATTGACAGATTTTGGGCACGATAACATGATTAAAAAAGGTCTAGAATTTTACTTTGATTTAATTCACTGCATTTTGCATGATTGAACCCTAGGGTAATCACTGTCATTTGGGGATTTTACTTTAAAGCCTCATGCATAGTAATTGTAGTGTATATTCTACTATCTCAAGTGCAATTGTCTGATTGGAAGGAACTAAGAGTATTCATTTTGGTTAATCTACTATTCTTCGCCATTGTTGCACCATAGGGTAGCTACTTTCATTTCTGGTGGTGAATGTTTTGCATTGGTGATACAACAGAGACTGGTCTAGTTCCCTATCTGCATGATAGTCATTACTTCACTACAATCTGACCTGTCTTGATTAAATTATATGGTGCTTGCCCAGCTTTGATTCTGCATAACTGTATCCTAGGTTAGTATTGTCCAGTCTCATAATGCCCAATGTGTGCTAAGATATCCTAAGTCCCTCTAATTGTTCTGAAACAGCTACCAGTGCTGTGAATACTACAATGCAGTAGCAATAACTCCATGTTGAACTACTCTTTTTGACATGTCCACACACACACACCACTTGCATCACTATGTTTTTTTGTCAATATTGACCCTGTTGCATACACATCTTTCTGATAAAATTTTTGTTGCTTCAACACACTCATTTTCATTCCCACCTGTGTGTGATCACTTTATGCTACAACCTCTGGCTGCATGTGCTAAGAATGATGCTTATTTTTGAAAGTCTGCTAATGCATGATCTATTTGTACTATGCTGCACACATCCCTCCCTGTGGTTTACATTTCTACACCAATAGCATCATTTTGTTTTAGACATTTTTCCTAGAACCTGCATCACCATAGTAGTCATTTTTCATACATATTTGCATTGACATTTGCTGAAGTGTAGATACTGCGTAGCCACAATTGTTACTGTCATGTATAACCACAGACACTGTGTGCTCTGCATTCTAGCTTATGAAATATGCACTCTTTGTATGTATGTACTCTTTTGGAACAATTCTGTGCTGCACTGTCATTACATGCACCCTGCACAACTTTCTATAACTCAGGCCTTGACTGATAAATGCATATCTGTGATGATTATAATTCAGCATGCTTGAATTTTTTTGTACCTTCACTGCATTAATGTTGTAATGCTTGAACCATAGAGTAATTACTTTGACACTACACTCCATCATAGCACCTATTCTGGTTTGCCTTTCCACTATCAGTGTGAACATTATTTTGTTTAATATACATCTTTGTTGTATAATATCAATGTACATTCCACTCAGATTTCCTTCTTTCTTTTTGCAACAAACATGGTTAACACACCAAGAAATAATCCTCCAAGGCCCAAAAGAGCCAAGACAGTTGGTGCCTCCTCTTCTAGACCTCCACCTGCACATGATCCTAGATTTCGGTCCGTAGAGTACGAGGACTACTTCAAAGCCAACATCCTGCGTAGGCA